TTGAGTTTTTACAATAGTGGTCTCATATAATATGTCCTTTTGTGATTGGCTTATTTCACTCAGCCTAAAGTCCTCCTGGTTCATCCATGTTATGAGGTGTTTTGAAGGCTCATGAACATTTTAAAGAGGTCTTGTGCAGCAGATTTGTCTCATGCAGTATGTTGTTTGATTTCTTGATGGCAGCTGCCATGAATATTGATTGTGGAGCCAAGCAAAATGAAGTTTTTGAGATCACCAGAAAAACCTGGTGATCTACTCCTGTAAAGATTAAAGCCAAAAAAATTCCCGTGGGACAGTTCTCCTGATACATGGGGTGCTGTGGGTTGGGATGGACTTGATATCAGCAAGAACAACTACCACCCCATAGCAGCAGAAGACATCCTTTTCAAGTGCACAAGGAATGAATATTGACCCAGAAATCATACCCTTAAAACAGTTCACTCAAATTAAACAAATAAATTTGGATCTATTTCAGTGAACTGATACGTATGGAGGAAAATGAACACCTCAAAAGATGTTACATTACTCAAGAATCTTGTGAATACAGTGGTAAAATTAAAATGAGAAATATTATGACCTAAAAGAAACTCCTTTAAGAACTCAATGGCTTAAATATATGTGTTCTAAGTCATTCAATTTCCTTAAAGTTCATCAATAGTGGGTAATACTTTTGTATTGTTTTGTGACAGGCCTTAATATTAGCAAATATTTTCTAAAATGAAGTTGACAACGTCAATCATGTTTCCATTTATCATGATGCTATTTATTGGTCCAGTGGTGAAGACTTTTGTTTTAAGTTGAGGTGCGGCCCATACTGAAGGTTGTGGTCTTTAATCTTCATCAGTAAGTATTTGAAGTCAACAAGTAACCTTGTATCATCTGCATATCACAGGTTGTTAATGAGTCTTCCTGCAATCCAGATGTCACATTTTTCTGCATATAATCCAGTTTCTAGGATTATCTGCTCAGCATACAGATTGGTGAAAGGACACTTAAACCCTGGGGCCCAACTTTCTTGTTTTAAAAAATTCATAGTATTACAAATTTTATTTACATAGTTCAGCAGTATTCAAGTGTTTCTAAGTTTTATACCAAAAGATTGTTGTTGTTAAGTGTTGTGAACTCAGTCTGACTCACAGCTTCCCTCTATAGGGTTTCCGAGGAGTGGCTGGTGGATTTGAACTGCCAACCTTGCGTTTCAACCTGACCTTGTGGTCGTGTTTCTCCTACAGACTCATACTGGAACTCCAAAAGGTAGTTTTAGAATTCATGTGGTTTTCAGCAGGAGTTATGGAAGTGTAATGGAGAGAACAGACCACTGCAGCCCCCATTGCCACCATGTCTGCATGTGCGCATGCGTGCTTTTTGGGTCAGGAAGGAGTCTAGAGAGGCAGTGTAGGGGTGGGGGGTGGCAGGACGAATCCTAGGCAGAAGTGGCAGCCTCAGATGGGGGCGGATTGAGGAGAATCTGGGAATCTGGAGGGCGCGCGTACGACGTGGCGGGGCGGAGAGGAATTTGGTGGGCGGGGCGAAGAGGTGGGTGGGCGAGCATAGCACAAGGCAGGGCTGAGGAGATTCTGGAGGGCGCTCGTAGGACGAGGCGGGGAGGAGAGGAACCTGGTGGGTGGGGAGAATATTATTCTGTAGGCGTGGCTAAGAGGAGGTGGGTAGGCGGATACCGTTTAGGGCAGGGCAGAGAAGAATCTGGAGGACTCACGCAGGACGGGGCGGGACGGTGAGAAGCCGCGTGAGTGGTGCGGAGAGACGGCAGTTGGGCGGGGCGAAGAAAAAAGGTGGGTGGGTTGGGCGAACAAGAGGCAAGTTTGCGTTCGGGGAGGGGGCGTGCGTAAGACAGGGTGGGGCTTATAGCAGGCGGGTGGGCGGGCATGGAACGAGGCCGAATTGAGCGCGGGCGGGCGCAGGAAGGGGCGGAGCTCTGAGCAGGAGGGCGGGCGTAGAATAGGGCGGAGTTTTTAGCAGGCGGAGCTCAGTGAAGGCGGGTGTAGGATGGGGTGGAGCTAAGCGTGGACGGGTACAGGACAGGGCGGGGCTCATAGCAGACGGGTGGGCGGGCGTAGGACGGGGCAGACCTGAGCGCTGGCGGGTGCGGAAGGGGCGGGGTTCCCAGCTGGTGGGCGGGTACAGTAAAGGGCGGAGTTCTATTTGGGCGGGGATTAAAGGTGGGCGGGAGTAGGATGGGGCGGAGCTGAGCCCCCGTGGGAGCAGTATGGGGCGGAGCTCAGCGCGGGAGGGTGGGTGCGGGAAGGGGCGGAACTCCAAGGTGGCCCGCGGGTGCAGAACAGGGTGGGGTTCCTTGCGGTGGAGCTCAGTAAGGGCGGTGAAAGCAGGACAGGGCGGGGCTCAGTGCGGGCATGCGCAGAATGTGGCGGAGTTCAATATGGCTAGGCGCAAGACAGGGCGGAGCTGAACGAGGGCGGACGGGGGATGGGGCGGAGCTCAATGAGGGCGGACGCAGGATGGGGCGGAGCTCAATGAGGGCGGACGCAGGATGGGACTGAGCTCAAAGTGGGCGGAGCTGAGCGCGGGCTGGCGGGAGGTCGGCTAGGCGCGGGACAGCTCTCGACCGGCAGGGGTCGCTGCGGTCCCGCGCGCGCTCCGCTCCCCGGTGCCGTCGGCGGCGGTTCGATTGGAGCAGCCTCGGAAGAGTGCTTGGCGCCATTTTGAAGCGGAGAAGAGGAGGAACGGCCGGGCTGGCTGCGGCCGGGGGGGAGGCGGCAGTTGGATGCGGCGGCGGCGGCGGGCCTGGGCGAGCAGCTGCGTGAGCGGAGCGGCGACTCGGGCGCCTGGAGGTAGGAACGGGTAACGGGAAGCAGCCGCCGCTCCGTGCGGCCCCGCGCTCCATTTTCCGCGGCCCCGCGCTCCGGCGCCGCCCGCCGCGCTCACCTCTCAAGGCTGCAGCTCGAGACCAGGGGCTCGGGGAACCTTGGGGAATCGGGGGACTGGGGAGAATCGGTGACCGCCGCTTCCCCCGGAACGTTTCAGTGCCGCTGAGGCCCCCCGCTTCGTCGGCGGCGCCCTTGTGCGGCCGGGGGGGTCCTCCCGGAGCGGCCGCCCCTCCCCCCCGGATCCCTCTCCGCGGAGACCCCCTTCCCCGAAGGGCCAGACGGCGGCCTCCTGCTGGGGGTGCTCCCGGTGGAGTCGCCCCTTCCCTGGTGAGGAGTGAAATTGGGGTGTCCTGTGAAGTCCTCCTCTGGAGACCCCCTCCCTTCCTAGGAGCGGACATTGGGGTGCCCTGTGGGGTCCTTTCCGTGAAGTCTCCCTATCCCAGGAGAGGTGGGGACATTGGGGTGTTCGGTGGGGTCCTCCCTGTGGAGTCTTTTCTGGCCGCGCTGTGGGGGCCTCCCTTTTTCTTATGAGAAGGGGAGCTTGGGGCTCCCTGTGGGGTCTTTTCCCTTCCCTATGAGGGGCAGACACTGGACTGGTTGGTTGCCTTGTGGGGTCCCCCTTCCCGAGTACGGGATGCCTTGTGGCGTCCTCCCCTCTCTGGGCAAGGAACAGACTGGGGTGCCCTGTGGGGTCCTCCTTCATGGACATGGGTAAGGAGTGGACCTTGGGGTACACCTGTGGGGTCCTCCTGGATGGAGCCCTTCTGCAAGAAGGTCTCCTCTTCCTAGGTGCAGGATGCCTTGTGTGATCTTCCCGTTTCTGGACGAGGAGCAGATATTGGGGTGCACCTCTGGGGGCCTCCCTATTAGAGCTCTCCTGCAGGAAGATTTTCCTCCCCTTCCTGGGTGTGGGCTGCCCTGTGGGGGCCTCCCCATTGGCACCCTCCTCCAGGAAAACCCCTCCTTCTTGGCTGCAGGGTGCCCTGTGGGGTCCCCCTGCAAGCGGGTCTCACTATACCCATGGGGGGGCTGGGTTTGCAGCTGGGGCTCCGGCTGAGCTGCCCCCACCCCCACAAGATAGGGACCTGAGGGTCGCTGGAGTTAGAGCCCAGCTCCAACCCCTTCAGGAAGCTCTGGAATCTGACCTTTCTTTAGGACGAAAGTGCTTGTGCGATTGTTGATTGTCTCTAGTTAAGGGTTTTGCACCCTGTTCTCGTTCTTTGCAAGTTTGGGACCAGGAGAAGTGTATGTGTATGGTATTTGGTACTTATGTTGAAGTACCTCCGTGGTCATTTTAGGGGTGCGTCTGAAGCGGACCGCTTTGTGGTCAGAGTGCCTGCCCAGTGTGAACTCTGGGAAGGGTTTGAGGGGCTGTACCCCTCTTCCTCCTAGTCAGCACTTGCTCCTAGTATCCTCAGTGACTCAGTCCAGCCCTAACCCTGGGAAGAGCATCCTTTAGTGAAATGATGGGTGGCCTTCTGTCCCTGCTCTTTCTTCAGTAGTACCAACTTGGCACCCAGCCCTTCAGTTCCAAGGTTGGGCGGGCGGGAGGTTGGGGGGAGCTTTCCAGTCACCTTGCTACCTTGAGGAGGCAAGCTGTAAGCATCATCATTGTCGGAGATTCAAATGGCAAAATAATCTGTGTTTTCACTGAACACAGCTATGCTTAAGCATAGCTCCTGGAGAGCAGCTTCTAGTTTTTTTTGTTTTTTTTAAAGGAAAAGAATTAAAAACACAAATAATGGTATTAAGTGAAATACAGCTTGAGAGGGCACTTCCTGTGCCAAGGTTGGTTAGCTTTTTTAGGACCAATAAACTGTTTCTATGGTACATACAAGCCAGTTTGGGAAACTATTAATCTTACATCTTGTAGTGGTTACCCACTGCCAAATGGGTGCCGACTCATAGTGCCCCCTGTAGGGCGGGGTCAAACTGTTCCCTCCGGTTTCTGAGACTGAATGAATCATTACTGGAGCACATAGACTCATCTTGTAGCTAGTGGGTTTCAACGGCTGACCTTATGGTTAGCAGCCCAGTGTATATAGTATAGATTTTATATCATGTAGAATAAGCCCTGGATTGTTGACCACAGGGTCAGTGGTTCAAACTACCAGCTAATCCTTAGAAACCCTTTGCAGGGTTGCTATGAGTTAGAACCAACTTGATGGCATTGAACAACAACATATACCTATATATTTCTGTATGTATATTGCTGTTTTAAGTGCGTGGGGTCCATTTGGACTCACAGTGACTGTGTTGTAGGATTTCCAAGGAGTGACTGGTGGGTTTGAACCACCGATCCTGTGGATCACAATCCAGTGCTGATCCCACAGTGCTACACCAGAAGTCCCCATATTTGTATGTTATTGTTGTTATGTGTCGTTGAGTCGATTCTGACTCATAGCGACCCTGTATAGGATTTCCAAGGAGCAGATGGTGAGTTTGAACCTCCGACTTTGTGGTTCAAACGGACCTTGTGGTCGGTCCAGTGCATTATCCCACAACACCATACCAGGACTCCATATTTATATTGTTGTTGTTGTTAAATACCAGCTGGAGTTGGTTCCAACTCATCAACCCTTCATAGGGTTTCCAAGGAGCAGCTGGTGGGCTTGAACCACTGACCTTGTAATTCACCACAATCTTGCAGTTCAGCACATTAATCCACAGTGCCACATCAGCACTCACCATATCTGTATACTTGTATAGATTTAGAAAAAGCACACTTTAAATTTTTAATTGTTTGAAAGTATGGATTTGTTTTCTGTTGGTTGTGATCGTTTTAAAAGATGTCTCTTCACAACTGATGTGTTTTGGAGGTGTATTAAAATGAAAGACGGCGACATTTGTCTTGGCCTTGTAAACTTTCTTTTAAAGCCTCCATTCCTTTTGTTGTTGCAAGCCCCCCTATGTTAAAACTGTCTTTTATAATGGAATCTTTTTTTGTTTTTGTTTTTGCGACTCTCTTTATTTATGTCTTTTCTTCCCCCTCACTTTCCCCAAAAACTAGAGAGGTACTGGTATGGTGCTGTAGGCTAAGAGCTGGACTGTTCACCGCAAGGTCGGCAGTTCACACCTACCAGCGACTGCTCAGAAACCCTCTGCCATTGGAACTGACTTGATGGCACGTCACAACAACAGCAGAGCAGATGTGTGGTGATGCCATGGGTTGTTGTATAGTAAGCTTGTTTGGCACTTCTGAGTTGAATGTTGGATAAAAGTGATTGCTTTTTAAAATATACTTCCAAATTGATGTGCAGCTTTATTTAATGTCACAAAAAATGACATTTGAAGGACTGGGTATGTGCTGAAGTTGTTGAGACAAATCCCAGGGTAGTTGTGGTTTCGCTTGGCCCACAGTGAAATGCTGCCCGGCACTTTGAGGATGGGCTTCTGAGGAGACTGCTTTCTGGGTATCTCTGGAGAACTTAGGGACTGGTTTTTGGGCTTCCCATGCTCCCTTTTGTGATCCTCTTTGTCAAAAACCAGCAGAAGCGCTCACTCTGGTGTGTGCTTCCAGAGAACAAGTCCCGTTTATGGCTTCCTTTGTTAGGATTGGAGAACTGGACGGAATGCTAGAGTTGATCTCTACTCACTGAGCTTGCCCTGGAGGAGAATTTAGCCAACTGCTCTCCTCAGCACACGCTCCACTGGGGGAGCTGGGAGCAGCCCTTAGACCGCCTGTCTACAGGACTTGGGACTGAAGCAATGTTTAACATCATTTCGAGGTTAGCCTAGTCTTCTCCGGCCTCCTTCCCACTCTGTTTCAGAGTCTGTCTCTGATGGTTTCTCTCCAGCATTAGTCCACTCACGTTGTCTCGGGAGATAACCTCTACATGTCTGTCCGCGGCATAATGGGACTTGACACAGCTTATGTTTACTCTCTGCGAAACGCGGATGCCAGGAACTTTTAGGGAAATCAGTACTGAAGTTAACTTCGGCTAGGAAGATGTGTACGTGTGAGAACGTAGCCTATGTGGTGTGTGTATCTTTTAAACTCGGCCTCACTCGGCATTTGCCACTTCCAGTTACAGTAAGTTTT